AGTCGGTGGAGCTCATCAACCGAGTGGAACGTGTTCAACGCCGAGCTTCAAAGTTTATTCTAGGCCTCCCATTCATGTGTGACGTATCCTATAAAGACGGACTCATTTCGACAGAACTTCTTCCCCTCTCATATTGGCATGAATATTTAGACTTAATGTTTTTCTTCAAAGCTATTACTGGCATTGTATCGATATCTCAACATTCCTTACCTGAACGTATTGCTCCCGTAAGAGTCACAAGATTATCTGCCAATGTCAACGCAATCTCATTCCGTCAACGAAAACATAAAACAACAACTTATAATCGAGCATTCTTTCTTCGAACAACTAGAACTTGGAACTCTCTCCCGGAGCATTTAAGGCTTATTAATCTATCTTTTATTCAATTTAAGAAAGGAATATTAGCATACTACTTGACTGTATTACGATCCTGCTACAACGTTGACGATTCACGAACTTGGAAGACTGTCTGTGTCAAATGTAACTCATGCAGAAGTCTCATCCGACCATTAACTTGCTGTTACTAGAGGGGCGTTTGCACATTGCGATTTGTCCTGTGCGATTCGGGTTCTGGTGTATGAAATTCTTTTGATGCCTCAATTCCAAAAATCTGAACTGAAGCGAAACTTTAAATGACGCGTGACAACAATGACGCGTGACGACAATTGACGCGTGTCTACTCGATTGGATTCGCCAAAATACGAGTCGTACACGGCGGATCGCGGTGTGTAAACGTACCTTAAGTAAACTAAGTATAATTACATAGGTGATTATTGAAAAATTTCCACGCTGATTGGTTGCCGTTGAGGTGATTATAACGCGATAATCACCTAAGCGATTTTCGAAATATTATGGCGGCCATCGGCTGAAGCCGTTTTAACTATTAAACTGACGAAGAAATGTGTATTTTTATTTCCCCCCCCCCCCCAAATAATCACCTATGAAATTATACTAAAACAATTATTCGCCTCAGGCTAGGTGGTTATTGTTAAATGAAAACTTTGACTTTGTCTCTGTCCCTATTCACCGATAATCACCTGATATTTTGTAAAGGGCCCACTGTAATTGGTGTTAAGCTGTTGTGGTGACCCAGCTTCTTTAATGCAATTATTGTATGATGTTTGGAAGCGAAGCACAATAAATAAATAAATAAAATTACCTCGTGTTTCACACTGCTCCCGGGTGGCAGCTTCGTCCAATATATCCAATGACAGCTGTTGCATTTCGTCCAGCAGACGATTTAGCGAGTTCATAGCTACGTCTGAAGGCGCTGGGGCAAAGACGTCTGAAGGCGCTGGGGCACAGTCGAGAAACTTCCGACGCTTAAAAAATGCAACACACCGTTTCCAAAAGCCGTTATCTTCGTTTGGGTAAAACTTTCTCATTCTGTCTTGAAATTCTGGTTTCATCTTTTTAAAGTCGTCAGAATCTTTCTCTGGGAGACGAAGTTGAGATCTGTAAAATTTTGTCTTTCGTCCAAGTAAGGCCAAAGCAATAGCTATTGATGCCAAACAATTTGGGTCCATTTGCAATTCATCAAAAATTTCGTCTGACACAGCAGGTTCAGACGAGGTTTGACATGCATTAAAAAATTCGTCTGACAGAGAAAAAGTTGCCACGGCGTCACATGTGTTGTGTTCCATTTCTGCTTTAAGCCTGGCCATATCGTTCAAAAAGGTATTAAAAGGAAGCACATCCCAATCAAGCGGCTTTGCTGCAGATAAAAGAATTGAAGCCCTCCATAACCGATCTGCAAAACATGATACAAATAAATATATTATTATCCTTCTCAACTGAAAGTGTTGAATTAATATAATGGTAATTGAACTAAGTGGAAGCTGGCGAAGGGCAACTTCAAAATGAAAAAATCAAACGCTTGATTATAAAATCGCACGGCCACGAAGGAGCATAAATACAATACGCCGAATGCGCGTGCGACTTTATTATACTTTTTCAACCGTGCTAGTTCCTATATAAATTCAGGCACGATAATAATCCCATGTAGTGCACACAGAGACACTTGCATGTACATCCAGACATGCGCGATGTGCAGGGGTGGATTAGTCCACCCACAGTTCTCTCCAATTGTACGGCCTCTAGAAATTTGGTTAGATTTATCTATTTGTTTTATATAATAAAAAGAAAAACTCTGAATTAAACAGGAAATAGCTTACTTTTTATCTACCCAAACATTTGGAAATTTGAAAAAGTCGAAATTTTGCAAATATCACGCATATATGATCTATACAAATACGGGAATGC